TATAGAGTTGGTTACTTGGTTGTGTTAGGTGTTTAGAGTTGGTTCCCGTGTTGTGTTACGTGTGTAGAGTTGGTTCCCGTGTTGTGTTACGTGTGTAGAGTGTGTTCTTGTGTTGTGTTACGTGTTTACAGTTGGTAACTTGGTTGTGTTACGTGTTTAGAGTTGGTTCTTGTGTTGTGTTACGTGTGTAGAGTGTTTTCCTGTGTTGTGTTATGTGTATAGAGTTGGTTACTTGGTTGTGTTACGTGTTTAGAGTTGGTTAGCTACGTGTGTAGAGTTGGTTCCTGTGTTGTGTTATGTGTTTAAAGTTGGTTCCTGTGTTGTGTTACGTGTTTAAACTTGGTTCCTGTGTTGTGTTACGTGTGTAGAATTGGTTCCCGTGTTGTGTTACGTGTTGTGTAGAGTTGGTTACCGTGTTGTGTTACGTGTGTAGAGTAGGTTCCCGTGTTGTGTTACGTGTGTAGAGTTTGTTCCTATGTTGTGTTACGTGTATCGAGTTGGTTACTTGGTTGTGTTACGTGTGTAGAGTTGGTTCCTGTGTTGTGTTACGTGTTTAAAGTTGGTTCCTGTGTTGTGTTACGTGTGTAGAATTGGTTCCCGTGTTGTGTTACGTGTTTAGAGTTGGTTACTTGGTTGTGTTACGTGTTTAGAGTTGGTTCCTGTGTTGTGTTACGTGTGTAGAGTTGGTTCCCGTGTTGTGTTACGTGTTTAGAGTTTGTTACTTGGTTGTGTTACGTGTATAAAGTAGGTTACTTGGTTGTGTTACGTGTTTAGAGTTGGTTACTGTGTTGTGGTACGTGTGTAGAGTTTGTTCCCGTGTTGTGGTACGTGTGTAGAATGTGTTTCTATGTTGTGTTACGTGTGTAGAGTTGGTTCCCGTGTTTTGTTACGTGTGTAGAGTTGGTTCCCGTGTTGTGTTACGTGTGTAGAGTTTGTTCCTATGTTGTGTTACGTGTATAGAGTTGGTTCCTGTGTTGTGTTACTTGTATAGAGTTGGTAACTGTGTTGTGCTTCGTGTGTAGAGTTGGTTCCTGTGTTGAGCTACGTGTGCAGAGTTGGTTACTTGGTTGTGTTACGTGTATAGAGTTGGTTACTGTGTTGTGCTACGTGTGTAGAGTTGGTTACTGTGTTGTGCTACGTGTGTAGAGTTGGTTCCTGTGTTGTGTTACGTGTATAGAGTTGGTTACTTGGTTGTGTTACGTGTATAGAGTTGGTTACTGTGTTGTGCTACGTGTTTAGAGTTGGTTACTGTGTTACGTGTGCATAGTTGGTTCCCGTGTTGTGTCGTTTGTGTAGAGTTGGTTCCCGTGTAGTGTTACGTGTTTAGAGTTGGTTTCTTGGTTGTGTTACGTGTGTAGAGTTGGTTCCTGTGTTGTGTTACGTGTGTAGAGTTGGTTCCCGTGTATTGTTACGTGTTTAGAGTTGGTTACTTGGTTGTGTTACGTGTGTAGCGTTGGGTCCCGTGTATTGTTACGTGTTTAGAGGTGGTTACTTGGTTGTGTCACGTGTTTAGATTGTGTTACGTGTTTAGAGGTGGTTACTTGGTTGTGTTACGGGTTTAGAGTTGGTTGCTGTGTTCTGCTACGTGTGTAAAGTTGGTTCCCGTGTTGAGTTACGTGTTTAGAGTTGTTTACTTTGTTGTGTTACGTGTGTAAAGTTGGTTCCCGTGTTGTTTTGTGTAGAGTTTGTTCCCGTGTTGTGGTACGTGTGTAGAGTTTGTACTTGGTTGTGTTTCGTGTGTAGAGTTGGTTGCTTGGTTGTGTTTTGTGTATAGAGTTGGTTACTGTGTACGTGTGTAGAGTTGGTTCTGTGTTACGTGTGTAGAGTGCGTTCCTGTGTTGTGTTACGTGTTTAAAGTTGGTTCCTGTGTTGCGTGTTGTTGTGTTACGTGTGTTGAGTTGGTTCCTGTGTTACGTGTGTAGATTTGGTTCCCGTGTATTGTTACGGTTGTGTTACGTGTGCATAGTTGATTCCCGTGTAGTGTTACTTGTGCTACGTGTGTAGAGGTGGTTCCCGTGTTGTGTCGTTTGTGTAGAGTAGGTTCATTTGCTGTGTGAAGTACGTACCGTGTTGTGTTACGGTTAGAGTTGGTTCCCGTGTATTGTTACGTGTTTAGAGGTGGTTACTTGGTTGTGTTGTGTTACGCGTATAGAGTTGGTAACTGTGTTGTGCTACGTGTGTAGAATTGGTTCCCGTGTTGTGTTTCGTGTGTAGAGTTGGTTACGGTGTTGTGGTACGTGTGTAGAGTGTTCCCGTGTTACGTGTATAGAGTTGGTAACTGTGTTGTGCTTCGTGTGTAGAGATGGTTCCTGTGTTGAGCTACGTGTGCAGAGTTGGTTCCTGTGTTGTGCTACGAGTGTAGAGTTGGTTCCCTTGTAGTGTTACGTGTTTAGAGGTGGTTACTTGGTTGTGTCACGTGTTTAGAGTTGGTTCCTGTGTCACGTGTTTAGATTGTGTTACGTGTTTAGAGGTGGTTACTTGGTTGTGTTACTTGTGTAGAGTTGGTTCTGTGTTACGTGGGTAGAGTTGGTTCCTGTATTGTGTTACGTGTGTAGTGTTTGTTCCTGTGTTAAGTGTGTAGAGTGTGTTCCTGTGTTGTGTTACGTGAGTAGAGTTTCTTCCTGTGTTACGTGTGCATAGTTGGTTCCCGTGTTGAGTTACGTGTTTAGAGTTATTTTCTTGGTTGTGTTACGTTTTTAGAGTTGGTTACTGTGTACGTGTGTAGAGTTGGCTCCTGTGTTACGTGTGCATGTTTAGAGTTTGTTCCTTTATTACGTGTTTAGAGTTGGTTACTGTGTACGTGTGTAGAGTTGGCTCCTGTGTTACGTGTGCATAGTTGTTTCCCGTGTAGTGTGTAGAGTTTGTTACTTGGTTGTGTTAAGTGTGTAGAGTGTGTTCTTGTGTTGTGTTACGTGTTTCGAGTTGGTTATTTGGTTGTGTTACGTGTTTAAAGTTGGTTCCTGTGTTGAGCTACGTGTGCAGAGTTGGTTACTTGGTTGTGTCACGTGTTTAGAGTTTGTTACTTGGTTGTGTTATGTGGGTAGAGTTGGTTCCTGTTGGTTACCGTGTTGTGCTACGAGTGTAGAGTTGGTTCCTGGGTTGTGTTACGTGTATAAAGTAGGTTACTTGGTTGTGTTAAGTGTGTAGAGTGTGTTCCTGTGTTGTGTTACGTGTGTAGAATTGGTTCCCGTGTTGTGTTACGGGTGTAGAGTTGGTTCCTGTGTCACGTGTTTAGAGTTTGTTACTTGGTTGTGTTATGTGGGTAGAGTTGGTTCCTGTGGTGTGTTACGTGTGTAGAGTTTGTACTTGGTTGTGTTTCGTGTGTAGAGTTGGTTCTGTGTTACGTGGGTAGAGTTGGTTCCTGTTTACGTGTTTAGAGTTGGTTCCCGTGTTACGTGTATAGAGTTGGTAACTGTGTTGTGCTTCGTGTGTAGAGATGGTTCCTGTGTTGAGCTACGTGTGCAGAGTTGGTTACTTGGTTGTGTCACGTGTTTAGAGTTTGTTCCTTTATTACGTGTTTAGAGTTGGTTAATAGGATGTGTTATGTGTGTAGAGTTAGCTACTTTGTTGTGGTACGCGTGTAGAGTTGGTTACCGTGTGGTGTTACGTATTTAGAGTTGGTAACTTGGTTGTGTGTTGTGTTACGTATTTAGAGATGGCAACTTGGTTGTGTCACGTGTTTAGAGTTGGTTCCTGATTTGTGCTATGTGTGTAGAGTTGGTTACTGTGTACGTGTGTAGAGTTGGGTACTGTGTTGTGCTACGTGTGTTGAGTTGGTTCCTGTGTTACGAGTGTAGAGTTGGTTCCTGGTTCCCGTGTTACGTGTATAGAGTTGGGTCCTGTGTTGTGTTACTTGGTTGTGTTATGTGTGTAGAGTTGGTTGCTTGGTTGTGTTTTGTGTATAGAGTTGGTTACTTGGTTGTGTCACGTGTTTAGAGTTGGTTTCTTGGTTGTGTTACGTGTTTAGAGGTGGTTACTTGGTTGTGTTATGTGGGTAGAGTTGGTTCCCGTGTATTGTTACGTGTGTAGAGTTTGTTACTTGGTTGTGTTATGTGTGTAGAGATGGTTCCTTTTTGGTGTTATGTGTGTAGAGTTAGCTACTTTGTTGTGGTACGTGAGTAGAGTTGGTTACCGTGTTGTGTTACGTGTTTAGAGGTGGTTACTTGGTTGTGTTATGTGTGTGGAGTTGGTTCCTGTGTTGTGTGACGTGTGTAGAGTTGGTTACTTTGTTGTGGTACGTTTGTAGAGTTGGTTCCCGTGTTGTGTCGTTTGTGTAGAGTAGGTTCCTTTGCTGTGTTAAGTACGTAGAGATTGTTCCTATGTTGTGTTATGTGTGTAGAGTTGGTTCCCGTGCTGTGTTACGTGTGTAGAGCTGGTTCCTGTGTTGTGTGACGTGTGTAGAGTTGGTTCCCGTTTTGTGTTGCGTGTGTAGAGTTGGTTACCGTGTTGTGTTACGTGGTTAGAGTTGGTTCCCGTGCTGTGTTACGTGTGTAGAGATGGTTCCTGTGTTGTGTGACGTGTGTAGAGTTGGTTCTCGTGTTGTGTTACGTGTTTCGAGTTGGTTATTTGGTTGTGTTACGTGTGTAGCGTTGGTTCCCGTGTTGTGTTGCGTGTGTAGAGTTGCTTCCTGTGTTGTGTTACGGGTGAAGTGTATGTTCTATGAGACGTTTTGAAGTATTCTATTACCTTTCCCGAGGAATGTGTTGCGCTCCGTGTGTAGAGTTGGTTCTCGTGTTGTGTTACGTGTGAAGTGTATGTTCTATGAGTCGTTTTGAAGTATTCTATTACCTGTTGTGTTACGTGTGTTGTGTGTTTTCCTGTGTTGTTTTATGTGTATAGAGTTGGTTACCTGGTTGTGTTACGTGTTTAGAGTCGGTTCCCGTGTTGTGTTACGTGGTTAGAGTTGGTTACTGTGTTGTGTTACGTGTGTAGAGTTGGTTCCTGTGTTGTGTTACGTGTGAAGTGTATGTTCTATGAGTCGTTTTGAAGTATTCTATTACCTTTCCCGAGGAATGGATTCCTTTGAGAAGACAGAGAAATATTACAATAGACGTTGCTAATACACCAAGAAGTATCTCCCAGCGAAACGTCCCTAGAGTGTGGATCCCTTCTGTCAGTTGGAGGACATTGTTCCTGTGTAAAATGAAAAAGATAATTAAAAAAAAGTAATCTCCGACATCATATAAATAACGAATTTTTATTAGCTAACCAAGAATTGTTTTAATACAGGAGAATAAATATCACTGTTAAAGAAAACTCTGCCAGTCTCATATGTCTTTTCAAAAAAACTGGTAGCATCTTAATCATATCTGCAGATATACAACATAATCATTAAGGTTCCAGCTCAATACGACGAGAAACGATATCTATATACGTGTACATGTAGACCTATGATTCATTTTATGAACATCATTTAATTAAGAACAACACCGTTTACTTACTCCCAAAACTCTTCCGGTGGAGTTTTTCGAGACGTCGTATTAAGGTAGTCATGGATAGCAATGATTGTATCGTTCATTATCGTGGAATTTCCCGGCCCTGCGGCAGCAACATTTGTCCTAACGGAACACATTGGCGTGTTCCATTCGTTACCACATGTCGCCCAAGGGATGGGTGAGAAAAAAGACTTTCCAAAATAGTAGAGTGTCCAAGATAGTATAACGTCGTAATACATGCCAACTATAAACGTCAGTGTCATCATGCCGTAGCCAATTCCTGTATAATATCAATAACATATTCATTTACCAATACTTCTTCGTGTCCAGGATCAATGTATTAATAATAATAATTCGATGTTCTTATATACCGCTTTATCACAACCTAGTTCGTAGGTCGTCTCAAAGCGGTTCACAAATTATTAATTGTGGGTATAGGGCCTTTGCAACCCGCTAATGTCTTTCTCAACTCCCTGGGGAGCATATAGCCGGTGCTGCCATTTCGGCGCTAACAGCTAATATTCAACAATATTAGCACTGCTCAACCACGTTCTCATTTACAGCTGAGTAGACTGGAACAAACGGAGTAAAGTATCTTGCTCAAAGATACAACACAGTGCCGTGACGTGACTCGAACCCGTAACCCTTCGGTCACGAGCCCGGCGTCCTACCACTAGACTACCGTGCCTAATGTACTTCGATAAACGACAAAATAAATCACTTTCTTTAACTATTTTCACCACGTTTACCTCTGAATAAAGGGCAGCATTCCCATACTTTTCCCGGTCCAAGATTGGAGTACTGCGCATATGAGAACTGCAGAAAAACACAGGGCGTTCCGATGAGAACGAGGAACAGGAAATAGGGGATGAGGAAGGCACCTAAAATCAAACAGAAATGCTCTTTATGATATATGTAGCCATGGGCTATCATGGAGTATATTCAAAGACAATAAACAGCACGCCCTATTTGTTAGAAATGGTTGAATAAAATATGGAGAGTATGGCATATGCAGAAATTTTGAATGTTGTTTGATATTTAATATCTAGATTAGTTAGCAAGCAGTACCCAGTATCTGAATCTGTGTGACACATGACATTTCTACTTCACAATAGACTTTTTGCCTATGTGTCCAAGTGTATGGGGGGACACGAGAACATAGTCCGGCTGGGTTTAGCGAAGTATAATTTTATTCTCCAAATTATGTCCCCTATCTTCTCAATGAATATCAGTGACGGTAGTAAGAGAAAGTTAATAACTCCCTAGATCATAGAAAGATAACCAGCTCGTGATCGTATATCCTAATATTGGCGACATCAGATGAAACCCAGTCAGATAGCAAGTAAATTTGTCATTACATTTTAATGGTATACCACTAATGCAATTATGTGAATATAAAGTATGCTTAACAAAAAGCCAGATATTAAAATGTACCTTACCTTTCACAAACCATCATAAATTAACATTGTCATGTTGTATGATCGTTCTTCCAATGCATGAAAATAGTTTATATTCACGTTGAGAGGACAAGACTACATTGTGTACGTAGAAGGCACATTGTGTTATCCGGTCAATGCCAATATACACATCTCCTGATGAACCTCTAAAGAGGGGAACGTACTAGGGTATTACTAAGAATCTCTTTGTGTCATTTCTATTATATGTAACCACTCAAGGATGTTTAAAAATAAAATACCAAAAAATGGGTTGAAGTCCGTGTGGCAAGCAAAATTATAAAAAACAATAAAAATCAATTTATATCAGTACCATAAATAATAACGACAGTATGATCTAATATGGGCACTTGATAAAAATAATAATATACAGCATATATATAGCGCCCTATATAATTTGTAAAATTATTCTAAGGCGCGTAGTGCACTTTGTGAGCACTCGTAGTGAACAAGATGCACTAGACAAAACAGTTTAACGCACTACAGTATTAACCTTAGTTCACAAGTTTGTGGAAAATCTAGTGCACTAAGATGTTAACTCCAGGGCACTACATTGTTAACTCCAGTGCACTACGATGTTATCTCCAGTGCACTACGATGTTATCTCCAGTGCACACCAGTGTTAACTCCAGTGCACTACGATGTTAACTCCAGTGCACACCAGTGTTAACTCCAGTGCACTACGATGTTATCTCTAGTGCACACCAGTGTTAACTCCAGTGCACTACGATGTTAACTCTAGTGCACACCAGTGTTAACTCCAGTGCACTACGATGTTATCTCCAGTGCACACCAGTGTTAACTCCAGTGCACTACGATGTTATCTCCAGTGCACACCAGTGTTAACTCCAGTACACTACACGTTTTACTCCGGTCCACTTTGTGTGCACTCGTAGTGAACAAGATGCACTAGACAAAACAGTTTAACGCACTACAGTATTAACCTTAGTTCACAAGTTTGTGGAAAATCTAGTGCACTAAGATGTTAACTCCAGTGCACTACGTTGTTAACTCCAGTGCACTACGTTGTTAACTCCAGTGCACTACGATGATATCTCCAGTGCACTACGATTTTAACTCCAGTGCACTACGATGTTATCTCCAGTGAACAACGATGTTAACTCCAGTGCACTACGATGTTAACTCTCCAGTGCACTACGATGTTAACTCCAGTGCACTACGATGTTAATTCAATTACACTACACTGTTTAACCTAGTTTAAAAGACCGAAGTACATATTTCAATTATTTATTAATGATGTTTTTTCAAGATATGAAAATTAAATGAATAAAGAAAATTCATTTAATTTATATTTTTTCTAATAATTCTATCTTTTAACTGGATATACGTAAAAAGGAAAAACTGTAGACTATTTCGGGTAATTCAAGATTTTTTTTAGACACCTGCATGATTTAAAGGGAAAAATAATGTTACAATTTAAAAAAACAGTTAATTTGAACCATTACAGAAATCCCCCAAACTGCCCCCATAGTCGCAAGCATACATCAGAAAAGAATCACAATGGCATAAAACACCTTCATACTAAATTGAGTGAAATCGAACATTATCTGAATTTCGACCAATCTGAAGCCTCCATGTTGTTTGTATGGTAACCAAACCTATGCAGTTGAATTTGCAGTCCCCTAATACCCCTATATACCAATTTTCATAAAAATCAAACAATATATAAATTTCGACCAATCAGAAACCTCCATGTGGTTGCTATAGTTACTATGGCAATGAAACCTGTGCGGTTTAATTTGCAGTCCCCTAATACCCCTATATACCAATTTTCATAAAAATTAAACAATATCTAAATTTCGACCAATCAGAAGCCTCCATGTGGTTGCTATGAGGTTGATATGGCAACGAAACTTATGCGGTTGAATTCGCAGACCCCAAATACCCCTATGTACCATTTTTTTTTCAAAATCGAACAATATCTACCCCATAGTCGCAAAGATGCATCAGAAAATTATCGCAATTCCTTTATACACCTGCATACTAAATTTGAGTGAAATCGAACAATTTCTAAATGCGACCAATTAAAAGCCTCTTTGTGGTTGCTATGGCAACGAAGGTATGCGATTGAATTTGCAGTCCTTTAATACTCCTATATATCGATTGTTATCAAAATGGAACACTATCTTAATTTCGACCAATCAGAAGCCTTCGTGTGGTTGTTATGGCAACATAACCTATGCGATTGAATTCGCAGTCCCCTAATACCCCTGTAAACCAATTTTCACAATTGAACAATATCTGAATTCCGACCAATCAGAAGCCAGTATATGGCAGCCATTGTGTCATATTAGAACACAAATGTCGTAGTTGAGTTTGCCCTAGTAGGCCCTATTAAGGAGGGAAAAGCTTCTATCATCATTCGGTTCAGCCGTTATACGGACAGAGAACACATTTTTGACAGTAAAAGGAAACTCAAGGGTTCTGGTATACTAGTATTGGAATCGCTGACGTTATTACGCCAATCTATCGGAGGATTTTCGCCAAAAAATCAAATGAGAACGCAAAAAAATCTCATGTGAACAACAAATGACATTAATGATTTAGTTCCCGACTACATCTACAGGCCGAAACAGAGGAACTAAAACTTTTCACTTCAATCCATTTTGTCATTTAGTCAAAACTGTATATAAAAAAGTGACGTTGCATATTCTTTTTATATGTTCTCCTGCATTACATTCTCTAGAATTTCCCTGTGTGTTATAAGAGATTCCATTTCTTTCTTACGACTGGTTGTACACGTTATATCAACTGATACCAGTAACGTATTTTGCTATGACGGGTTGTATTTTTTTGTAGTTGTGTTATAAATATTGCACTATGTCAACGTAACATGTATCTCTCATATTTATCATGACTAGCTATATCATTGTCGATAAGACAAGTTGTACAAATTACTATCCGTATGCGTTATCTGAGTTGTATACAGTAGCTGGTTGAATACAATGTACATCATGACACTTAAAACACGTGGTTTTTGGTGCTATTTTTATCTTGACAGTACTACATGAATATATATCATGACATGTCGAACGCGTCAACCTGTGTGCTATATGTATATCTTCATAGATCGAACAGCGTCATCTTTGGTCAAGGTGTCACCTGAATTATACTAGCATAACTTGTTGTCTCAACTGGTCACAATTGTCATACATAGTGATATGTATATTATACTAGTTTGACGTGCTATCTCCGGTATATCTTGATTGGTTACACGTGTCATACATAGTACTCTGTATATTATACTAGTCACACGTGTCATATAAAGTGCTATATTTACATTTGCATGGCATTGTCAATACATAGCCTCTTTGAAAGCTGTGCCGTTGATGGGACGGAAATATCGCTGGGCATTGTGAGATTTGATAATGTCATTGTAAATTTGTGTGCAAAATAAAAAATAAAATAAAAAACACTTTTATTACAACGAAAACAAAACCAAGGTCTGCAATATCGTACAAAATGCACATCGGTTGAAATCACCAATGCCGGCAATGGAAACAATTTTAACGCTCATGCAATTTATCAGAAATATCGTCTGTTACACTGCACTGATCAACAGGGGTTCGTTATAAATGTCTGAAATACACATATTCTATAGACCTACTGACACATATGTTACAGACCTACTGATATGAGTCACAGCACACATAAACATTCGTCATTTCAGACATTTGTAACGAACCTGTGCTCCGTCGCAAGATCACTCACTTCAAACGCTATCAGTTTCACGCGTCTCGCATCCACGGTTCCTGATTTCTGACGACATGCCAAATAACGAGGCTGTTATAGAATCTACCGACTGTTGTCATGTTCCCATACAATCACAAATAAATTCACGCCTGGATTCTTCACAAAATGAGGGAAGAGAAAAGTTCGAATTAACTTCCAAAAATAACTCCATCGTGGAGGGCAAGGTCGGATATACGGTGTTCACTGTATTTGTCCATGCGCGAAATTTGTTCCGGGGGAAAATCGAAACAATTTCAAGTCTAGCTTTCAGCTCAGAGTTCTATTGATAAACTTAAATCACCATATAAACATATCATACGCAATTGTATTGATACTGAATTGTGGAATAAAATTGAAGTGTTTGTTAAAATTTCAAAGTACTACTTTGTTCGCCAATCAGCACGCGACAATACGCTGTTCAAACTATTGAACGAAATTGTGTGGACTGTCGATAAGGCGGGCATTTTTAATTTTAAATATAAATTATAAGTTAAAAAAGAACATAAGAGGCAGAGAAAACGTAAATATAAGTATTGAACTGTTTTTGTATGGTATTTATGATCTATTTGAATGACACAGCTTTGCAAGCAAACAACTCATAATGCGCTAGCGCGCATTATGTTGTTTGCTTGCAAAGCTGTGTCATTCAAATAGATCATAAATACCATACAAAAGCAGTTCAATGCTTAAATGTATATTATACTAGTCACACGTGTCACATAAAGTGCTATGTATATTATACTGGCTAAACGCGTTATCTCAAATGTATCTTGAATGGTCACACGTGTTTTATAAAGTGCTTTGTATATTATACGGGCAAAACTGGACATTGCAAGCAGAACTCGACCATCATATTGCCGTGGTATAACTTTTGGAAGACCAGAGAACGCATTTATACCCATTTATTGTGTAATTTTTTCCCCGACCAGCCCCTTTTAAAGTGTTATTCTATCATGTTATCTAAAGTGCTGTATGTATACCTTGACTGGTCAAACTTGTCACTTACAGTGCGCTATATATTAAACTACTTGTAGCTAAACGCGTACGCAGTATCTTCAGTGGTATATGTATTATGACTGGTAAACGTACTACCTATATACTATATATTATTTGAGCTTGAGATATACATGTATGTTCATATAGGTGTGTTTTATCACTATCTTTGTGAGGACATTCTAGCATCATACCGAACTATGTATGATATTAGGGTTTTGTGAAAACGAGTCACATGGTCTCATTCTATGTATATATGAAGATGAGGGGTATAGGCGTGTACATGTACTTTTATACATGTGTGTAGTGTTAAAGCTAGTATTGTGTGTGTGTGTGAGTGTGCGATTAAATTGAATGTGTGTGTGTGTATGATAAGGATATATGCATGTATATATTATATGACCATTGTGGTGCACTAATCCAGAAGTTATCAAACGATGCATGTGGTTCACTAATTATTTGACGGTAGTCTGGTGAAAACCGGATTATGTAGTTAGTGTTACGAACTACTTCTCGGTGTAAATATTTTACTGTCTAAATCATGGTGCACTTACGTAAACTCGCTGAGGTTTGTCTTGCGAGAGATCAACAGCTCGTGCGCTTAATGTTAAAGTAACTTCAAGCCAAATATCCATGCTCGGTATACATCCATGTGACATATCAGCACATGCAATGCAAGTACCAGCGATTTCAGCTTAAAGTGTTTTGTTCTTGTTTTTATACAGTATTTATGCTAACGTTGTCTTTAGTATATATAAAAATATCAATATTTGTAATATTATATATAATATTTCGTTAATTTTGATAAACATCTTCAAACAGTGTATTTGGATGTGTGCACGATGTGTTAAACGGTCATTGTTGTGTTGACATATTATAGTCCATGTAAACCAACACAACAATGACCGTTTAACACATCGTGCACACATCCAGATACACTGTTTGAAGATGTATATCAAAATTAACGAAATATTATATATAATATTACAAATATTGATATTTTTATATATACACATAATTCTTGGTTGGGAACAAATATATTGTCATGATAATAATAATAAATAAATAAATAATAATAATAAAGTTCATTTAACGAGGATAATACATGTTTAGGCAAAGGTTTATCTACCACATGGTCCTCAAAATTAGTAAAACATACTTAAGGTCGGTAAGATACATCAATATAGTTATAAGAAGTATTGTATATTAATATCACAGATTTATATCAATTTAAAATTACCACAGAATGAACAAGCAAGATCTGTTTGCACAAATTTGGTTAATCAATTAAATGACATTGTGCCTAATATACATATATGCTAGTATAGCAAAAAGTAAAAATTCACAGGGTGTTACGCTAATATAGCGTGATTTAAAATACAAATGCAAATTTATGTAAAATAAATGATAGTTAAATAATAAAAAAAGAACAATTTACGAGTCTTCTCCTGAAAGAATTAAAATGTTGTTTGACTTTTAAATCAGTTGGTAGACTAGTTCAAGCTTGATCATCAGAAGTTAAAAATTGTTTTGAATAAAATGAAGTTCCATTTAAGATCTGATGTCATAACACAAGAAGGTCATTAAGTATAACACGTTCTGCCTGCTTTTGAGCTTTAGACAATTTATCCATCAACTTTACAGAGCAGACAGACCGTGCAGTACAACAGTAGATACAATGTGGAAACACACATGAGTTTCAATACTTGAATCTACCCCGTACTGGTAAATAAGGACGAATGCGCCGTGATAACCATAACCATTGTCTGATTTTCGATACAGTTTTCTCAATATGACAGCTCCAGGAAAGAGAATCGTCCAGATGTACACATAAAAGTTTTTCATTTTCAACCTGTTCTATGACAATGTCACCAAGTTCAAGGTCAAGTTTAACATCATTTCTGGACAGTTTTTGTTTTGATGCAGCAACATTCATTTAGTTTTTTGAACATTGACAATCATTTTGTTTGCATTACACCATATTTTTACATTTTCTAAATCTGACTGAAGCACATGTTGGACATCTGTAACATCTGTGTGACCAGTAATACTTGATGCTACCATTGTCAGGTAGACCTGTAACATCTGTGTGACTAGTAATACTTCATGCTAAAATTGTCAGGTAGACCTGTTACATCTGTGTGACTAGTAACACTTCATACTACAGGTGTCAGATAGACCAGTAACATCTGTGTGACCAGTAATACTTGATGCTATAATTGTCAGGTAGATCTGTAACATATGAGTGACCAGTAATACGTGATGCTACAATTGTCAGGTAGATCTGTAATATCTGTGTGACCAGTAATACTTGATGCTACAATTGTCAGATAGACCAGTAACATCTGTGTGACCAGTAATACTTGATGCTACAATTGTCAGGTAGACCAGTAACATCTGTGTGACCAGTAATACTTGATGCTACTATTGTCAGGTAGACCAGTAACATCAGTGTGACCAGTAATACTTGATTCTACAATTGTCAGGTAGATCTGTAACATCTGTGTGACCAGTAATTCTTGATGCTACAATTGTCAGGCAGACCAGTAACATCTGTGTCACCAGTAATACTTGATGCTACTATTGGCAGGTAGACCAGTAACATCTGGGTGACCAGTAATACTTGATCCTACAATTGTCAGGTAGACCAGTAACATTTGTGTGACCAGTAATACGTGATACTACAATTGTCAGATAGACATGTAACATCTGTGTGACCAGACTTGTAACATCAGTGTGACCATTAATACTTGATGCTACAACTGTCAGATAGACCAGTAACATCTCTGTGACCAGTAATACATGATGCTACAATTGTCAGGGAGACCTGTAACATCTGTGTTACCAGTAATACTTGATGCTACAATTGGCAGATAGATCTGTAACATCTGTGTGACCACTAATACTTGATGCTACAATTTCCAGAGAGACCTGTAACATCAGTGTGACCAGTAATACTTGATACTACAATTGTCAGGTAGACCAGTCACATCAGTGTGACCAGTAATACTTGGTGCTACAATTGTCAGATAGACATGTAACATCTGTGTGACCACTAATACTTGATGCTACAATGGTCAGGTAGACCTGTAACATATGTGTGACCAGTAATACTTGATACTACAATTGTCAGGTAGACCAGTAACATCTGTGTGACCAGTAATACGTGATGCTACAATTGTCAGATAGACCTGTAACATCAGTGTGACTAGTAATACTTGATGCTACAATTGTCAGGTAGACCTGTAACATCTGTGTGACCAGACCTGTAACATCAGTGTGACCATTAATACTTGATGCTACAATTGTCAGATAGACCAGTAACATCTCTGTGACCAGTAATACTTGATGCTACAATTGTCAGGTAGACCTGTAACATCTTTGAGAAAAGTTATACCTAATACAGAGTCGGATCAAGAATTTTTTCTGGTGAAGGTGTTTCACTTTTCCAGATTTCAAGTGTATTTTGCATCGCTTGTGGTTAAACCATGTCATGTTGCAGAAAATAAGCTGGATGCCAGTCTTGGTCTTGTTCTTTTTCAAGAGTCTCTGTCTTAATCTTTCGTTTGTTTCTGTTCTTGTTTTTTTAAAAAAAAAAATATGCCCGAATTGAATATGCTTCATCAAAGTTTGCATTTAATAAACATTTTCAACTGTAACACATGTGCCCTGTAGCGACTACGGATCACTTGTATTGATACGAATATATCTCCAGCTTCACTGACCCACGTCAGTGATGCTGGGGTGTGTTATCAGTAACTGTTTACTATTCAACGCCGAGTTTAAAACTGATTGAGGTGGGGGAGGGTGTGAGACTTGGGCAGTGTAAACAACTAGAATCACGAATAAAGAAATTAAAATATTACATTAAGATGGTTAGTTACAATGAGAATGACCTAAAGCATCAAATAATGATTTGAACATAACGCACATCACCGCGCACACAATAAACTGAGCCTCTGGGACATCTGTGTTCCAGTAATACTTCTGTTTTATGTCGACAATATAAACCCACGTTTGTTGTAAATATGTTTTTCAGTGTAGCTTATTTTTCGACTGTTTTGTAAATTATAATAGCATTTTGTTTTAATATAGTATGGCATGCTGCACTACGCCCACGAAGTTATGGAGACACAAAAGTGTCTTATATCTTATTTGAACAAAATAAAACTTACCTCCACCGTTTTTGTAACAGATATACGGAAATCTCCATATATTTCCAAGACCAACAGTAACTCCTATACACGAAAACAAAAATTCCAGGCGGTTAGACCAGTTTCCACGACCCTGATTTGCCATCTTATCTGTGAAAAAATTTTGCTCGACTGGTAACGATCGCGGGTAGTAGCTATACATATGCTATGTCATATTATTCATAGAATATTCTCATCGCTTCAGCGCACTTACACGATATGGCTTGTGACTATGCAGTGCCAACCCCGTGTTTTTAATTGTAAAAGAAAACAAGTGTTGGCATTGTGCCCTACCTCCCACGTGTCTGTTCATATGAAGCTTTTACTTTTATATGTCTAGCTATGAAAATGACGAAATAATGCTGATCCAGTGAAATATGACAGGCATTTATTTCCACATATATTGCACGAGTCATTTCACATATGTGGGTAAGAAGGCAGCAACAAATACTCATTTAAAACCACCGAAGATAAAAGTTTAATAGACAGGTTGTAAATTGATTAATACAAAATGTAAATATAAGTATTGATTGTCATATTTTTTTATATGCATTGGTGTGTAACATACATTGGCTTACCTACCTACTTAACATGGTGCGCTAGCGCGCATCATTCAATATGTAGGTAAGCCAATGTATGTTACACACCAATGCATATAAAATATATGACAACCAATCCTTTAATATACCTACAATGCACTAACGCTACTGTTATACTATATATATCTTTACTCTTCTGTTGTGATAAACATCTACTCCACCTTCAGTGATGATATATAAATATTTTTCCAGGAAAGAAACCATCGCGCATCTGTCAGAAAAAAATAGTGACTGATGAGTTGTTTAATAAATAGCGTAATTAAAAGTAAAACTATGACATAACGTTGGGAAATATTCGCACAAAGGTCACATCTATGTTCTGGCTCGCTTTAGGAAAGTGTTAAACTGCTAGTACACAGCACATGCGGTTAGTATATGAACACTCGATGTAGCATATGATTTACATAATAATACAATAAAACGACTTAAATATTTCAATTTAATAATACCTTTATCAGCGTACAGTTATGTAATCTAAGTCTCTACCTGTGTTCTTGGTTTGCAATTGATTCATCGTTTCTTTAGAATTGTGACCACAAACGACGACGCTGCTAGTGTACAGTGACGTATTTTCCTGCTTTATATCTATATGTATAAACAGCCAGCTTACCTTCCTACGGCACCCATATCTCGTGCTCTGTGGCACTTAACTGCAAAACTTGTGTGTTTGAGTTCACGCGATTATAATGAACCTGGCAGATGTAAACTTTGTTGAAAGGTTGATATAAACGTGTACCTATTGATAACTACACGAAGAAAAGAGTCATCGCTCAGATTAGCCACAATCGCATTCGATTATTCAACTTTCCGTTCACCGTGAATATACTACCCATAAAGAGTTGATCGGGCTCCTGTAAGTATCACTAGGACATTTGTGATTAAATATATTCAATTCAATTCTGAAAAGATTAGTAAAAGAGCCTCGATTACCTCATTGAATTGAAATATGTGTTTACATTGAAACATTCTCATAAGCTACGTGGAAGATTAGAGTGCTTTGTCTCTCACAGAAGCCCCCGGGGATTTAAACACTTCCAATGAAAACATTTGAAATGCCAACACTAGGGTAGTACAGTAGAAATTGCTTGACGCTAAAAATAAAGGGCATGTCTCGGACAAACATGGATAGCGGATTCATCCTGCACAACACACCTACATATATATATATATATTTATAAACTAAATTTTGAATAGTTTTTTTTTAGAAGAACGATTTTTTTTTCCAAAAGTGTTTTCTCCAGATTTGGGACTTGTGAAAACCATGGTTACAACATCAAAAAACACCAAAATATGGAAAAAAATCATGATTTTTAACCCATTATTTGACCCCCGCAAGTAGAATTGTTTTTCTTAAAACCTGTCTGAAATTAAATATCGCCTACTCGGTAACAGAAATACTCACGTTTTAGCATAGGTCATTCCGGTGGATTTTTCACAATATTTACACATGTGCTGAGTACAAAAATAGACTACATGAAAAGCCAGCTTTTGTTGTGTAGACACAGATTTGTAAATGCCCAAAACTGTAGTCTCAAACCAAATTCGACAAAGGGAGGTAATCTGAAAAATTAAAACTAAAGATGTATCCGTTTTCTTTCTCACTTTAAAAGTGACCGAGTAATATGAATTCTCCTGATAGGTGAATTTTTACCAATTCTGCTCTCAAACTACCAACAAAGGGAGGTAATCTGAAAAATTAAAACTTGAATAACTTTGTAGTTTTCAGGAATAACATTTCTTTTTGGGTAAAATATGATGCTTTAAGATCATGTGCATGTGAAAAACAAAACAGTACTGTGATACTAGGATGTTTCTGTCTTGTGTGATGATGTCATCATAACTATGACGTCATCAATGGACATCTGTGACATCATAAAGGCTCACTGATATCAAAATGAATACAAGGAAACCCATCACAACAACAAACTAGAAACAGACACACTTCCCGTAACCGATGAACAGCACAAAAATGTCCGATATTCTGAAACATCAGACAAATGACACCATAGCAACCGTTGTTTACTTTCCTTGCCTAGAATTGACAGTGACCCCAGACATTGTTCATTTAACATATTTCACTAGAAAAAAAAGTTTTCTTCAGCTGTAATTATGGAAATAAAATTTATTGACATTATTGACTTTGCAAATTTAATCTGTATGCTGAATCAAGTGGGAAAAAAAAACATATAATATAGCACTAGCCCTCTACCACTGGGTCACGGGTTTGAGACCTACGTGGGGCAGCCACCAGGTAATGGCACTAGTTTTTCTCCGGGAACTCCGGCTTTCCTCCACCATAAAAATCTGGCATGTTCTTAAATGAACATAGCTGTAAATAGGACATAAAACCTAAATAAACAACAACAGATAACAGAGACAATAAGGGTCACACGAACATGTTCGCAGCACAGACAGACGGGATTTACGCCAAATCTCATGATGTTGGGGAGGGAGGTTTGTTAGTAGGTGGATTTGATATAGGAACAGCGACCAGAGACCTGGGCAGCTGTAGTATCTCTGACCTGAGTGGAGTGGAGTTGTAGAACATGCGCAGAGGAATCATATAAACGCTTGTGAACATTTGCAGGGAGCCCATTGCAAGCAGAAAAGTGACTATGATATAAAGGTACGGCAGCACCATTACAACATTAAGGATGTGGTATTAAAGCTGGATAGTGCCATCAAATTTGGACCAAATCGAAATCAAAAGTCCATTCCTTGTGGTATAAGTAAAGTATCAAGTTTTGTATTTGTGGTTCCGACGCATGTGAAACCGGATGGTTTCCAAACCTGAGGAGTAGTCGTTACTCGATGATGAGGATGTGGACGTGCCTTATCTCTCGGGGTTGTTTGAAATTGATACGCAGACGGGAATGCTGACTGCGGACTCTACTCCGGCAACCCCGTTGAGACCAGTCGTGGAAGACGTCTGCGAATTGGACACAATGCCGGACACGGAGGAGGTTGTGGTGGTAACGCACAAGCGATGTGTCGGAGGCCTCTGTACCTGGATGATTATGTACAGGACTTTTGCCACACATCAAAGCTGTATATATGCGAAGTGTATTTTATGATGATGGATGATTATGCATAAGATTAATTAAGTTAATGTAAGGTGTATGTTAAGCTGAGTCAACAGATGTGTGTCAATATTTGTAAGTGTATTTTGGTACTGAACTGTAGGGTGGGACCTCATCCAGTTTGTACATTTTTTGAAGTAAAACCAATTTTCAAGATGTAATACTTACCATTACTTTAGTATGCATATGCAATACCTACACCCATCTTTGTAGATCAAAAACAAAATATTCGAATATCCTTACCTCCCTACCGTCACGTAACCCATATCTCGACGACAGAGCCACAGAGTGATCCCCCTTCCTCAAACCTCTATTATGGAGCCTAAAGGCAGCCTTAGGCTGAAGGTAGTCTGTCCGCGCCAGAAAGCCACGGACATGACCTCCTGTAAGGGGGACCCATTGAGGAGGGCCCATGACGCAGCAAGAACCCTGATCTCATGAGCTCTCACCTTATACAACGCACGAACCTGATCATCTGAGTGGTCGTAACCGTACTTGATGACCTGACAGATCCATCTAGACACTGACTGAGAGGAGATATCCTGCTGACCCTGCGCGTCACTAATCCCGGTAGACACAGACAATCCCGAAAGAAAGTATGTCGTCACACCAGGACCTGAACCCGAAAGAACAGGCCCGGCACCAAGACTGTCCCAAACGACAACACCACCTGGAATGCCGGGATCACTGACAAAGTCAGTACCCGGCGGCCGGTAGTCCCTACCCGAAGGCAAGCGCGAAAGCTTACTGGCGTTCCCGGCCAATTCGACCCTGGGCTGCGCCAAGCCAGGGTAGGGCTGCCCCTTCCCTACTCCAGGGAGTTCCTGAACAGGAATGCCCCCCCCTGTTCACGAGAGGGACTCGCCGAAGCGAGACCCCGAGACATGAACAGAGACAGTACCACCAGACCCCAGAGAGCTGGTGGCACGACCCCTACCTCTCTGCTTCCCTCGCTTACCGGAAGAAGAAGACGGCAGTCTTCAGGGGATTCAGTATTGAGTAGGTAGGTTTTCTGAAACAGGGACAGGTATCAGGCAATTTTCCAACATCTCTCCGTAGAAAGTATTCTCCCGTGGCATGCGGGAGGTTTCGGATCACCTTTTCAGCTCATTTCCACGGCACAAAACAATGTCTTGAATCATGGGTATGTCTGTAGGAGGTGGCATATACATCAACCATGAATGCCAGGTATCTCTACAACATGTAAAGGAATCCGATGATGAGGATCTTGTTTAAATACTTGTAAATAATCTCAATTGCATGTTATATGTGTTGTTGCTGATTGAATGTGTGTACGTGTTAACCTGCATGTGTTCATAATGACATTTTTAAGCGGATTTCATTCTTGGGGATGAATTGACTTTTATTACCATATATTTACATTTGCATGGCATTGTCACTATATAGCCTCTTTGAAAGCTGTGTCGTTGATGGAACTTAAATTACCATGCATCACGAGACACATTTCTTAGCTTATTAATACAACACTGACCGGAACTACAATATCCAATATAAATAAACATAACGGCTGCTGAAATATAGCTGGGCATTGTGAGATTTAACAATGTCATTGTAAATTTATGCGCAAAATAAAAAATAAAATAAAAAACACTTTTATTACAACGAAAACAAGACCAAGGGCTGCAATATCGTACAAAATGCACATCGGTTGAAATCACCAATGCCGTCGCAAGATCATTCACTTCAAACGCTATCAGTTTCACGCGTCTCGCATCCACGGTTCCTCAGTTTCTGACGACATGTCAAATAACGAGGCTGTTATAGAATCTACCGACTTTTGTCAGGTTCCCATACAATCAACAAATACATGCACGCCTGGATTCTTCACAAAATGAGTAAAGAGAAAAGTTCGAACTAACTTCCAAAAATAACTCCCTCGTGGAGGTCAAGGTCGGATTTACGGTGTTCACTGTATTTGTCCATGCGCGAAATGTATTGCGGGGAAAAATCGAAACAATTTCAAATCTAATTTTCAGCTCAGAGTTCTATTGATAAACTTAATTCACCCTATAGACATATACGCAATTGTATTGCTACTGAATTGTGGAATAAAATTGAAGTGTGTGTTAGTACTATGTTTGCCAATCAGCACGCGACAATGGGCTGTTCAAACTATTGAACGAAATTGTGTGGACTGTCGATAAGGCGGGCATTTTTAATTTTAAATATAAATCATAAGTTAAAAAAGAACATAAGAGGCAGAGAAAACGTTAATATAAGGATTGAACTTTTTTTGTATGGTATTTATGATCTATATGAATGACACAGCTTTGCAAGCAAACAAATCATAATGCGCTAGAGCGCATTATGTTGTTTGCTTGCAAAGCTGTGTCATTCAAATAGATCATAAATACCATACAAAAAACAGTTCAATGCTTAAATGAACCACTTTAAGAAAACGAGAAGGAATGTAGTGAGCTAGTCACTTCGGCATCTGGTGGTGGAACCCTGGTACCGGAAGTGTGTCTCCAGTTCTGGCCCTTAAATACCAAAGGAGACAGATTAACCGGCGAACCCGAGTAATACAGACGTCCCCTAGATCTTGTCCTGTAGTGCTCCCGTGGCCGCATACATCCGACGGATACAAGACTGAGGTAAACGCACCGTTTATATGCAATCACTCGATTCACAACAGTACTGTAACAATATTTTTCTTTAAAAGAGCTAAAACCTTATTAGCTTTGTGGTTTTGTACAATGGCAGTAAACATATCTATACATTGTGATTTGTTCCTACCTTAAATACCTTCATTTTAACTGGTTTACAAGACACATGTTTTCTAATTTACAATATTTAATTATTGTTAACTTCCAGAAAACAAGCATTTTTTTACACTTTATTTCTGTGGCAGGTGTAAGCGCAATGTTCAAAATTACGCTGGTATGGTATGTCAAGCACAGTTAGATATTACAATTAATTATAATAAATTCTGTAATTTATTTAGACAGGAGTGCAGATTTGACTTCATCAAAAGTTAAAATCTCAATATGGAAGATGAAACTAATAGCCAGTTTTGTATTATGTGCATGTAATATTTATAATTCTCTCATCCTGTGTGTAAGATAGAACTGTCCAGGAAAAGAAAGGGGTGTAGGAAATTTCTATCTTACATCCCATTTCACGTGACGTGACGTCACAATGGCTCGAAAAGGACGTGACGTCACGAATTTGGAACTCTCCGATACCGCAATGCGGAAAAGGCGACGTGATGATTAAAAACCTTTTACGATATATTTACCGTACATGGTAGAAAGATGCGATTAATTTTCCTGCGCAAAAGTTGTTTGCAAATATTGGATATGCTAAATCCGGCTGGCTGATTCGTTTTCGTCTAAAAGCTCTGGAGGAGAATTTATATTTTCAAAGTGGTGGCTAGTCCAAACGCATTTTCATGGTTTCTGAGCTTATTCTGGTGGTTTGAATGAGAGAAAACTACTCTTTCAAGACCAAGGGTGTAGGATAGGGTAATTCCACCCGAGGGATTTTCAAAGGGCCGGTTTCCAAAACGGCCCCTTCTCTGATTCAAATTTCCTGTTGGTGGTGCATTGCCCATGCCGTTGTGGTCACAAATCTATAAAGTATAAAGATTTAGGTCACTTGGTTTGTTTTTTATGGCTCCTCAAAGTTGTACCTTTCAGAAGCTGTCTAAGTGTTGATAAAATGTGCATGTTATGTAAAATATTAATGAAAATCTAATCAAATGATGGTCACCGTAAAGAATACATTCATGGCATGATTGTGACAAAAAATCATGTTTCCATCGCGCCATTTGGCTGTTTTATGGAAGAAACAATCTCAAAAATGCCATTTTCGATGATAACATTTTAGACACAAAAACTGTGTTTTTTAGAGAATACACCCTTTTATGGGCGTTGGATGCAAACCAATTTTTATCCTATTAAACAGTACGTAATATGCTATTGATGAGAGGAAAAATCATCAAAATGTAAGTGGTGGAACATTTTCAAATGTTGGGTTGAATTAGCCTATGGTTGAATTGCCGATTTTCGACTTTCTTTAGATAATTAACAAAAAAACGAGAGTATTTGCTCGGTATGTTGAGAATATGTACACAGATATGAAAAAAAGTGAGAGAAACACTTTTTCATAAAAAAAATCCAAGATGGCTACTTCACAAGTCCCCGTGGTTGAAGACATTGGCTGACAAATAGACAGAACAACAAACAAAACGTGTTCCTTATGATTTTGGTTGGTTTTCGCATTTACGGGAGTGTTCATAGCTACGGGCGATTGTATAATACCTATATTTATAAGTTTGGTTAGTCACATGGTAACGGGGATCTTTCATATCGAGCCCCAAACATACTTTCGACATATGCACTCCGTTGCCGCATGGAAAACTATTTCAAGTTTTGTCGGAATTTCTTTACCTGTGGTTGTAATGGTCGAGGGTTTTCCAGCGTCCTGTAATACCCAAGGTAGTACAAGATACTGGAGATGTGCGCACACATTCCCATCGTTCTCTCTCCAACTGGGCACTGGCAGTAGTAGTCCTTTATTGGGGCCTCAACATCGGGTGAAACGGTGAACCGTATCCAAACGTTATATTTCGTTTGGCTTTTGTGTCGAGAATGTATTTGACATCGGAGAAGGTCTGGGGAGTGCTGGTAAAGCCACACCTCATAGTCTCCGTCATCACTTAAATGTTCGGCGATGTAACCAGGAGCCAGAGATATCTGATACGTTCCACACGTAATGGTTCTCAAGTAATCAAGATCGAGACGGGGAAACAGTACGGAAGATGCATCCATCTTGACAAACTCGGACCTTGCCCGTCTAGATAGATCCGGATCTGTCTTGACTCTCTGAGCTAAACCATTCGGTGTTGTCAAACGGTCCTTCATACGTTCAGCCATTAGCCTATCTTTGGCATCTCTCTCTGGAG